ATTTCTCAAATCTTGTTAACATTTTGTATATACTTCCCTCTTCTGACATTATCTTTTCTTCCAATATTAAATATAAATGCTCATCATATGCTCCAGGTCTTTTGTTTAAGTCAAATTTCCTGCTCATCATTCTTATATTAAAGATGCATATAACTTATGATTTCCAGAGTGTTACGTGAGAAATTAGCAAAATTAATATTTGTGTGTGTGTGTATGCATGTGCGTGTGTGGTATGTGCATGCACATGAGTTCACGGCTATAGCAGCCCATGCAAAGCATACAGAGATCAGACCAATAATCAGGTGTGTTCTATGGCTTTTAGCCTTACTGCCTTGAGGTAGGGTCTCTCAGTGAACCAGAATCTCACCAATTTGGCTAGGTTGGCTGGCTAACAAGCTCCTAAAGTCCACCTGTTTAAGTCACCCAATGCTGAGGTTATAGGCATATATAGCCATGCCCAACTTTTATGGGTGTTAGGGATGCAAACTCAGGCCATTGTGCTTGCAAAGAATATGCTCTCACCCATGGAGTCGTTTCCCCAATGTCAACATTAATAGTCTTACATATATTTCTAATATTATATAAAGTTTCACTTATGTCTAATATTATAGCCTTTAGAACCTCATGTTTGATTTAAATTCAAACAATGTGTTTTCTGAGTTTAGGATCCCAATTCTACCTACAGGAGAGCTGTGTTTCAAACAGTCAAGCTATCAGTTAGCAAAAGCAGAGATAAGAGTTACAGCCAGGGGTGCACAACTCTTCATAACACCATCATTATATAACTAGAATGTTAACTAGAATATTAAAATAACATTCTGAATTAACTAGAATGTTGAAATAACTTTCTTACCTCAAATTCTGGACAGAATGTAAAAACAAAGGTTTCCCCAGTACCATAAAAGCCATCACTTACTTTAAATGGCTCAGATGCTAATGCACCAAAAACCTAAGGATAAAACAAAACAACAAAAAATTAAAATGTTCAATGACACAACTACTAATTTATTTCATTAAGCAACAACCATTATCATATATGTACAAATAAAATATGAAAAAAAAATGAATCAGGGGGTTGGAGAGATGGCTCAGTGGTTAAGAACACCGGTTGTTCTTGCAGAAGACCTGGGTTTGAATCCCAGCACCCACATGGCAGCTAACAACTGTCCATAACTCCAGATTCCAGGGCATCCAACATCTTTTCTGACCTCTGTGGGCATTGCACAACACAGGTGTACTTACCTACATGCAGGCAATACATGCACACACATAAAATTTTTAAAAAAATGAATCAGGAATAGTTTTAACTACTTTCCTTAAAGGGGCAAAAGGAGAGGTTGTTGTACATTCCTGTTAAGTACAAAGTTTATGTGCTTTTCTTTTCCTTTTTTTTTTTTTAAGTGCACAAGTCACACTGATTTTATTTTATTGTTTAAATTATTTATTTAATAACCACACACTTAGAAGAAGCATTTCATGACAACAGCATTGACATATTCAATAACAATTTCCTGAGCTAAGATGCATCTCTTTCAAAACTGACATTAAGATGTATGCACATGCGTTCCTAATCTCTATATATCTGATTATTACTAGTCACAGTTGTTTACTTTCTGAGCTCCTTAGCATCTGAGCATGGATATAAAGTTGTCAGGTAGAATTCAATGGTAATGTTTTTCACATCATTAAGGAGCAAAATTTACGCTTTGAAGAATTATTATTTTTTAAATCATTTAAAAAATTTTTAATAACTACATGATTAGAAGAAGCATTTCATTACAGCTTTAACATATTCAGTAACACACTTCAGAGCAAGAGTACATCTCTTTCACAAGTGGGTGCAAGTTTCTAGGTTCATAGTTGAATCAATACAGTTATACAATATTGAACTCATTGTAAACCCTGTAAGACATAAAATTGAGTTTTTAACCTTTAAAAAACATCTCCATTTTAGAATATATTGTTCCTTGCAGAAAGACTCAATGTTTTTGCTATTCACACTGAGATGTTGGCGCATGCATCTCTAATCCATATGTATCTGGTAATTACTAGTCATAATCGGTTGCGCTTGGATCCTTGGCACCTGTGTATGTCTATAAAGTCATCGGGTAGATTATCACCTCTACTAATTAGCATGCAGTAAATTTCCAAGCTTCCTCCCAAACATAATACATTTTAAAAAATTTGTTGATTTTTTTGTGTGTGTGTTTGTGTGTGTGTATATTACACAGAACATCCCAAACCATCTTATTCAACAATACACCCACTTTCCAGATGGCACCTTCTCATAGCTTCCCTCCCCCCCACTAGAACCCTTATACGCTGATATCCCTGCTACTGTCTGCTGTGTTGTCGGTACCCTCAGCCATTCCCCACTACTTGCCCTTCTGGTGAATCTAGTCAGCCTATCTAGAGGTCTTTGTTTTAGGAGGATCAGCTGTTCCTCATCTAGCAGCAATCAGTTGTCAATATTCCTTTAGATAAAATTGGGGTCTGCTGTTCATTTTCCCACTTCTATGCTGGGTTACTATCTGGGAGTCCCTTTGGCCACCCTGGCCAACAACTCAAAAGAAGGTATCTCCTATCTGGCATTGTTGCTTGTTATGTAGCCTTTAGCTATGCATATGGACTCTTAAGAAATTATATTGGCTCCTTAATCTTTGGTTATACTTTCCTTTCGGGTGTTTAAGGCCATACAGTTGTCGATAAACCAATTTATTTTTACTCTTAAGATCATTTGAGGATCTGTTCCTCAGGGGTCACATGGGCTTAGGAGGAGGCCCTGGCTCCTTTTCTTTTACCAGTTCCGCCTATGTGAAGTCCTGCTCGACCATGGCTGGCTTTGCTTGGAAGCATGGAGGAAATGATTCCTCTGTGTTGACCCTCCTCTTTGTAGACTGGACACTGGTTCAAGTCCATCTGGTGGGGTCTCCTTGGCCTCCTTGATCAAGGTGACCCACCACAATTACAGGTCATTTTGAGAAATGCTCATAGTCTCCTGGAACTAGTTGACCTAGGAGGGCAAGGAGCAAAAATTGTCCTTTATGTCCCTCTGACCAAATTAGTATAGGCCTCAAAGTATGTCTGTTAAACACCCAAGGTTAGTTCCACCAGTCTGGTACTTTTAATTACTGTGTGTCATGTAGATAAATCTTGGGTAAAGACCAGTTGTTCTCAGATAAACCTTACCTAGACATATATTTCTTCATCTGCTATGTATAATTTGTCAGTAGGTTGTAGGAGTAATATGGTTTCCTCTGGTTTTCAAAACTAGCTAGGCATTGTTTATCTCTCACATTTTCTCACCCCTCCATCATGGTTTTCAAGGACAAAAGATTTTTCTGACTTTTGAAATCTAGAAAGACACTATAGTAATTGAACAATTTTTAAAAATAATAAACACATTTTAAGAGAACTTACATGCACAATCTATATAAATAACATCTTGTACAGATCATAGTGCAAAGAAAAGCAAAAATCCTTCAGTATAGGTAAAATTCTACTACTAAAACTGTGTGTTTTTTTTTTCTTCATCATTACCCAGAAAGCAAGCTTTGATCTGAATGACCCTGACTGGTATAAGACACAAAGTAGAGACCCTAATAAGCCTCTTCTCATCATAAGTCCCATCTTCCCAAAGAAGCAACTATTCGACACTACCACATGCTCATTTTGCCCACTTATTTGCTTGCTGTAAATGGATTCATAAGCATGCTAATCTTGACTGTTTTAATCTAGTATTATGTTTTCAGTGCTCATCCATAAGCTATGGAATGTGGCAGTAATCTGTTCATTTGCATTCAATCTGAGTCAAGTATCTTGCTCTTAAGAAATACAGAAAAGATGTTTGCTTTCCTTGGTACTGTTTTTTCACCTTCTCATTAGGGTCCAATGCTGGGAATGGAAAAAACCAATGTTCTTCTTTTCTGCCTATGATTTTGCTTTTATTACAGCCCTCGCAAAATGATCTTTAACTACTATATCTTTATTATCTGCTGGAGGAGAGGAGTCATTTTCTTCAGTGGTATAGCTAGTGGCACGTTGCTCATGCTCCAGTAAATAACCCTCAACTGTGCTCATGCAGGCAATCCTAATAAAACACAGTGGGGTACCCCACCTCCACAAAGACAAGAAAGTAGGGGGACTTGTTGGGAAGAAGGGTTTAGTGGGAATGGGTGGAGGATAAGAGAGGGTGTGGGAGTGTGTGGGAATATGATTAACATGCATCATATACATGTGTGAATTGTCAAAGAATAAATGCAAAAATATTTTAAGATTTTTATCCATTCTTCGAGTCTGTCAATGTCTATGTTTCCATAAGCCTTACTCTGACTCTGATCTTTCTCACAGACATGACAACTCTTTAAGCATCCATTTCACTGTTTTCGAGCTCTTTCTATGCCTAGCATATTTATTATGCTCACCTTGCAGATATTGGTACAGTCAAATGTGCTCTACCATGTTACAATTTTCCTTCAACACAAAGCTCTCAATTATTCATCTCTTATTATTTACTAAAATACTCAGCATTGCCTTGCATTTCAATGCAATAAAAATTTCCAGTTATCCATTAAAATGCACTAGGAAATACATTTTATCAAAGAAATATGATAAACTTATTGCTAGAGGACAAAGTATCTATATGTTAGTTTTCCCTACCTGTCCATCACTATCTTTAATCACCATCAGCACTGGAGTGTCTAAACCTGTCATTGTTCGGTAAAGGGTCTTTAAACTTGTGCCATGCTTCCCAGTGCCATACACAAGAGTCCATGGATAGCCAATAGTTCTTGGTGGAAGATGCTTGGTAAGCTTAAAATGAAAAAAAAAAAAAAAAAGTATTAACTTGATTGCAAAAGCAGTACCAGCTAAAATTTAATCATATTCAGGTCAGCTGGGCTACAGGGAGAACAAAACAAAAACACACACACACACACACACACACACACACACACACACAGCCACCATGAGAAATTGTCATTACTGATCCTGTGATACTTAGAAAGTAATTATACATTTCTCAGCAAGAAATATTTATCCACTGGGAGCTGAATCAGGCCAAAGCAAATTCACATCAGAACACAGACAGGGATAGCTTATTGCTCATCTTTCTATATCTAATTAACAAAAACACAGATCTACTTTTAGTGTGATTATTCAAATAGTGGACTCTGGAGTCGTATTATCAGGGTTAGAAAATCTTTTACAGCTATGTGATACTGAACAAGTTATTTCATCTATGTAAAAACTTTCTTCACTTATCAAAGACAATGGGCTTAATTGGATCCAACAGGATCCAAAGCAGCAACTAGGCACACAGTAAATTAGACTGTGGGGTGGGGAGGGAGGCAGCTCACTATCATTCTAGTAGTCTAGGTAGGGCAGGGGATCATGAGCTTGGGGCCAGCATGGGCTCCACAGTAAGATCCTGTTTCAAAAAATAAAAACAAAAATGCCCCTCCACTAAATAGTGGATTACCTTTATAATAATAAAAATGTCTCGCCTCTATTTTAGTATTTCAGTGTCTGTTGTACTTTCAATTGTGGCTCTATTTTGCCTATTCTTCATAGAAGAGGAACAACAGTAAGTTGTAGCTGCGGCGTATGTGAAAATAGGCTGTTTCAATGCACAGCAAGCACTCAGGTGTGGCATGTGAAAGTTTCACTGCACAGTGCACACTCAAGTGTGTATACTCAGGTGTGGCATGTAGAGGTTTCACTGCACACCACCCACTCAAGTGTGTACACTCAGGTGCTACATACATGCAGAGGTTTCACTGCACAGTGCACACTCAAGTGTGTATACTCAGGTGTGGCATGTAGAGGTTTCACTGCACAGTGCACACTCAAGTGTGTATACTCAGGTGTGGCATGTGGAGGTTTCACTGCACAGTGCACACTCAAGTGTGTACACTCAGGTGCTACATACATGTAGAGGTTTCACTGCACAGTACATACTCAAGTGTGAATACTCAGGTGTGGCATGTGGAGGTTTCACTGCACAGCACACACTCAAGTGTGTACACTCAGGTGCTACATACATGTAGAGGTTTCACTCCACAGTGCACACTCAAGTGTGTATACTCAGGTGTGGCATGTGGAGGTTTCACTGCACAGCGCACACTCATGTGTATATACTCAGGTGCTACGTGTAGAAGTTTCACTGCATTCAGGTGCAGTATATGGACATTTCATACCTTTTCAATCTGATCTGGCAGTAAGAGGTCACTGGGATCACTTAGGTTTGGTCGAAAAGATTCAGACTCCAGGTCTGCTTTTGCTGGAGCAACCTGCTTTGAATTTCTATCTTCCCTTGTAGTAATCTACAAAAATAAAACAGCAGTAGTGCATTAATATAAAACTGTGATATGCTTTGAAAACCTTAGCCTTTTGACCTAAACAAAACTTTCTTTCAGCACAGATTTAATTCAGGACTTCATAGGGCAAAAGATGCTCCAATTTAATAAGAATGCTGGAGAGTTTAGAATAAAAAGACATTTTTTTTTCTCATCCACTACATGAAGAACTGTTAATAAATGTCAAGCTTTCCACATTTATGTGTAATAAGAGAGTTACACGCAAAGTTCAGCACCTGAAGGACAAAAGTAAGCCAGATCGCTTGCTTTTTAATTACGTGCTCTTTAAAAAATATATGGTATTATTTTTTCACATTAAATAGAAATTTGTTAAAATAATTACTAAAAACGTTGTGGGCATCAAAATGTTAATTTAAAGAATAGCGGAATAAAAATTACAACTTTTTAAAAATTAGGATGTATTTATTTGCTTCACAAAATTACCATTTTGTAAAAACACCATCTTCTGACTTACTGAAGGATTTTCATCTTCTAGGACCAAACAATACATTTTTAAGTTAATGTGTTCTCATTAAAAAAAAATTGGTGAACTTGTTGCTTTTACTTAATGGAAATTATCTCACTACTATTCTTAAAAGTGACAAACATAGGCGGGCGTGGTGGCACACGCCTTTAATCCCAGCACTCAGGAGGCAGAGGCAGGCAGATCTCTGTGAGTTCAAGGCTGGCCTGGTCTACATAGTGAGTTCCAGGACAGCTGGGGCTACAGGGAGACCCTGTCTCAAAAAAGACAAA